GCTCCCTTCTCTCGTTTCTAGTAACGCTTTGTAAAAAGCCTCTATTGATCAATCAAATACTAGAGCGGGAGAAAAGGCAAAGTGGCCTGTTGGATTTCTCCATCGGTGTGGTTCTGCGATTCATTATCTGTTCTATAAAGCAGCACATGCAGTTCCAGCAAAGGCCGGGGGAGCAGAAACTGTAGCCCACGTGTGTGCTCCCCTGGCTTTGCCTCCCCTTTCCTGCATCTGGCCACCAGCCAAGCTGCCTTTCAGCTGCTGCTCCTGTTTCAAGCATGTAGACTCCCCTATCCACCCCTGCTATTATGAAGGGATTGGGGGGGGGGGGGTCTGGTGAGGCACAGGGAGAGGATGACAACTTCCAGCCAGCACAGCTGTGGCTTGATCTCCAGGGCCCAGAGTCTTGGGAGATTCTGCAAGTCTCAGGGTCAGGAAATTCAAATCTTTAACTCTTTTTTTAGTGGGCATTCACATTCTTAATCATAACTCTTCTTCTCTGAGCACACTTCTCCCCAGGACAAACAATGAATGTGAATAGCCTCTGGGTAGAGAGATGACTTAGCAAGACCTAGACCAGCCAATGCAAATACCTACGTCATGAAGGTCCAGATGATATGGCAGATATATAGGAATAGCCAAGTGTGTATGGACAGACTTGCAGAAATCCTAATGGATGATATCCCAGATGCAAGAAGGGGATCAAGCACAGAAAGCAGCCATGGGCAATGTTCTACCTTAGAAATGACTTTAGTATTTTGAGTAGAGGGAAGGTGGGTTTCAAAGAGCGGAATGGCTTGGTTTTGCTTTGCTTTTGTTTTTACTTTGTTAGTTCAGAGCAAACAGGTTCCCAGCTGCTGCCCTGCAGAGGTGCTGGGGTGAGGGGAGGATATGAGGATATGGGGGGATGGGGGAATGGGGGAAGATGGAAGAATAAGCAGGTGGGAACATGACTTTCAACTCATCCCTGAGTACTAGAAAAACTGAAAAGAGCCTTGCCTTAGGGGCTGGGGAATCCTGGCAGATGTCCAATTCCTAAGAAAAAAGCAGAGCACTGGGGCCAAGACTAAAGGAGTTCGAAAAGGGACAGCTAATTCTCACCTTAATCCTGTAAGTCAGGGATGTGGCTTCTTACACAGGCCTTGTGACCAAGTCTCAAAACACATCATAGAAAATACTTAGTAAATCTAGATTTAACAAACATCACAGGCCTCCTCTGTTGGTACAGAGTCCGCTCAGTCGCCTGCTAGAGATGCTCAGTGTCAATGCTAGTGAGGGCCAGTTCTTCCCACAGCTTCCAAAAGCTGACAGCAAGGACTCACATCTGCCCATAAGTGGGCAGCATCCAGTGGTGGAGACTGTTGTTGGTCCATAGAGAAGGGGAGAGGGAGAGCCCCCTTTCAGGAATGCAGTCCCTGGAGATTTCCCCTTCCCTGCTTGTAGGATTCCAGAGGCCTGAGGCAAACCACAGGATGCAGTCCAGCAAAGAAACTTTGGGCTATATCCCTCTGGGAGGGACAGAGAACTTGCTAGAGAGGCTTTTTATTTTTAAAATCTTCATTCCCACTGGGAGAAGTGGTGATGGCACACATTGGGAAAAATCGTTTGGATAAGGAGGCATTCAACTAGATGTGTATATTTTACACTTTTCTGCTTTTGTATCCATTCTCTATTGTAACCTTAAGAAATGTTACTGAAAAAGTTCAAGGGCACGTGTTAAGATCGCAGTGATTCCTAAAATCAACTCTGCTTCTACTGTTTTTCCTCCCAAAGCTTTCTACTGGGTAGAATTTTAAATTCAAACAATAGTTCAAAGTCTGAGAGACAAACTGCTCATTACTGGAAAGAGTGCCAGGAATCCTGGGAAGCTGACCTCTCCCCACTGGAGCACTGCACCTCACAGTAACGGCTTCTTTTATAGTCACAGGAAGGTTGGATCACCATTTCCTTTCATCCATCTTCTTCTAGGAACTGCTGGGATAAAAGGGAGGCTCCAAGAATGAAAAATTCACAAATGGGACAAGAATAAAATATTTAGAGCAAAAGACCAGAAGTCCTTAGGTTATTCAGTGAACGGAACTCTCAAAAAAAAATTTTTTTTAAGTGTAAAGAAATAAACAGCCGTCAAACTCCATGTCACAGTATTAGCCTTTCGACCGTGTCATATTGACTATAAACTATATTGTCATGCCCTGTAGATTGAAGAGACTTGAGACTAACCCAATGATACAATGATGCACTTCTGTCATTAACTTCATTCCCAATATTAACATTTGTATTCTGAGAAGCATTCCACCAAAGTAGTTAAAAGGTCCATTCCCTCCAATTCTCCACCCTATAAGATGCCAGAGAAAACCCAGGCATTTTAGAGGGGCAGTTCAAGCTTTCCATCGTTAGTTCTTTCTGGCATATACGACTGATTAGTTTCAGAAAGCAAAGACAGGTTTGAAGTAACATGGTTGTGAGGTACTAAACTAAATTCTCTTACCTTTATTCTCTATTAATGTGATCTTGGAATACTTGACAAAAAGAACTTGAAGCATCTGGCTTGTTACATAGCAGTCAAAAGTTTTCAGGTTGGGGGCTAGCTCAATGGCAGAGCACTTGCCTAACATGCTGGGGGTCCTGTATTCAGTTTCTAACAATGGAATGGTTCATTTGATCAAGAGACCAGGGTCCCTCCCAACTTGGTGAAAAAAAAAAAGTCTACTAAACTAAAATTCCTTGTTTCTAGTCACACTGCATCTCATTCTGTTATGATAACCCTACCTGGGCACCAGGAAGCCTGTCTCTTGTTCAGGACCTGTCCATGAGCATGGCTTAAGAAACAGTCTATGCCAAGGAATTCGGGCTAAAAATAACCCCCGTGATCTATTTTTTTGCCTTTACTCATCACAGAAAGCATTTGTATGTCAACAAGAACTTTGTTCCTTGCAAGTTTTCACTCCTGTTTACTCCTTTCTGTAAATAGAGTCATTTGATAAAATCCAAGAAAGTCACAGGATTGGTGTGAGACAGATACTGTCACAAACTTTGCTGGTAGAACAAAGCTTCATGTCTGCCAAATGTCCAGAGAAAAGAGAAGAACACATATTCACTGGTAGGATAAATGAAAAACAGAAACACTCTTCCCCTCATTTTCTATAAATATACACAATTCTTTTACCACAGCATCTGATTTGTACCCAGAATTCACTTCTATTATCAACAATAACAGTGTGTGCTTAAGGTATTTATTTTGTTTGGGGTCTTTCTGAGACAGGGTCTATGTAGCCCAGGCTGGCCTTAAACTGAAGATCCTCCTGCCCCAGCTTCCCAAGTGCTGGGGTTTGCTAGCATATGGCACCTTGCCCTGCAGTTACAAAGTACTAAGACCATTAACTCATTAATTTTCAGCCCTATGAGGTAAGTACAATTACCTAATTTTACACTTGAAAAAACAGTTGAAGTAACTGGTGCAAAGGTCTCAGGTGTGGGGCAGAGCTGAGGTACAATAATCCAGCCATCCTACCTCCAGAGCCCATGCTGTTAGCTTGGCTTCTGCAATGAAAATATGATTTAAAAGATGCTTCCTACACAGCTATGTATCCCCTACCACATATGATAGTTTGCATTCTCTCAATTAAGCAGACTCATGGTTCATCTCTGTGTGAAACCAAGGATCAAGAGGAATCTTAATCTCACTGAAAGATATAGCTCTCTTTACCACACAAAATGTTACCTTTCAAATACAAAAGCACACTCAGGCGTAACTCCATTCTAGAAACAGGAAATGTCTACAGAATTAAGGTTCTGAACACCTTCAGTTTAAGGAAGTTGGCACTTAATGACTCTTTAGTGGTTATAATAGAGCTTATGTAGCTAATCTCTGAAAGAAAAACAAGGCAATTTAATAACACCCTGATAAGACAATGTTTTATTCTATGTATGCATTATGATGATGATAGAGTATAAAGCAAAAAGCTCCCCATGCTTACGGAACCAGTAAGTTATGCAGAAATAGCAAAGCAATGGCTATGACAGAAGTCCATATATTTAGAACTTATGCAATGGCCAAAGCATTATTTCATGTTCTCCTTTTGTTTAAAACTGTTACTTTCATTTAAATCTTTGTCTCTTTCCTGTTTCTCCCATCTCATGAGTCCATTTAGTTATAGACTGGAAATGTCTTTTAAAGTACTAAAATCATATTTTAAAACACCAGTCTCTACCTGGTTTGCTTCTAAGAGATTTGAGTGCATCTCAAACATTGAACATTTTCAAAACGGTCCCTTTAAATTGACTTGGGCTGTTACCTGTTTATCATGACCAAAACATGCGTCATCATCCAGGTGACAAAAGCAAATCAGAAAGTTTTGCCAAATGAGAATTAAATTTACCTAACCCTCCTTCCTTATCTGGTTATTAATGCACACAATTTCACTTTCACTAATGCGTATACTTTCTACAGCTATACTAGAAAGGGAAAAAAGGTCTGTATCATGTGGATACAGAGATGGGCCTGACCATTTGAACAAGTCAGTCTCATTGGTTTCTTCATGCTTGATCCCATTAAGACTTCTAAATTGAGCTGCTATCTTACCACTGCCCACCCTCACCCCCAAATTCAAAGCTGTAAGATCACCCAGGGTATATAAATTAACAGGAGGCTAAGGCCAAGTTTTGATGAAAACGAATTTGTGGATAGGAATGGCTTCAAAACTTGGTTTTTAAATTATTTGTTAAACGGACACCAGATCAGGCTGTACAAAAAAATCAAACTGGCCTCAGCTACTTGTAGAAAAGGCAGTTATAGTGACAGGTTTCAAGAAACTGCCAATCATTGTATCTAACAGCAGTATGATGGGGGGGGGGGGTTTGAATGTGTCTCTGATACTTCCTGAAGCCAACCAACAATGTCCCCAGTCTGTGAATGACTGATATTAAGAACCACACCTTCCATTTTCTAGAGGGCCTTAGCTTCCCCTCCTCCCACTTCACTGGAAACCCAGACAAGCAGGCAGTGAAGTTGCTTCAAAATATTTAATACGTGTTAGACACGTAAAGTTACATTTTTATACAAAAATCAATACAGAGAAGGAGAAAATACTGTACAAAAACCTTATCAGCTCCCCAACCTTTTTACAACAAAGACTGGAGTCACCATATCTACAAAACCGTGAGGTCTTTCCACTTCGGGCTTATCTGTAAACTTTGTTTCATTAAACACTTTTTAAAAGCACTGTGTAATAGTTCTGAGCTAGAGCTTTTAAAAATATATCTTTTCTCTATAAACTCCGTATTTCCAAGCTTGAACTCTTCCGTGAAGTTCAGCAAGCTTTATTCCCCTGTGGGGAATTGCAAGTCCCTTAATGTTCCCTTTCCCAGAGTAATCACAGGGTAGAAGCGTTTCTTCTGTGCCAGAGAAAGGTGGGGAGGGAGAAAAAAATACAAGTCTCACTTCCAGACTCCCTCTAGTCTGAAGAAATCCTGGGAGGAAACGCCACTCCGGTGCGGTTCTAGCTTTCAGAGGTGTGTGTAAAGTCCCTCTCTTCCCCAAGATCGACCGGGGAACTCCCCTGCCTCAAGCCTTTCAGCCGCTTCCTTCTCTGTGCTGCTGCCAGAGGAAAGTCCCTGTCTGGCCCCCAAAGTCTTGAGCCCCGGGACCGGGTGGTGCATTCCAGAAGGACAGAACAGTCTTAACACAAGACAAACTTAGAACACATATACACACACAGACACCAAAGTTATCGACCGATCGTCCTCTTCCAATAAGCCTCCAACTCCACGTCTCGGGATGAGACTCGAGAGCCACGGCACAGCCGTGCTGCCCCGCCGGGAGCTAAGTGCTGCCCGGCAGCACCCAGTCTCCCCAACGCGCTCAGCGCCTGCGGTCTCACGGCGTCCTCACGGCCGGGAGAGAGGCCCGGCCCCTCACTTCGGGGACGCCCGCTGCTCAAGCTCAGCCCGCTCGGGGGGCCGGGGGAAGGGGGTTCAGAAGGCCACGATGGCTGTGCTCCAGGGGTTCATGTCTCTCAGCACCGGCTTATCGCAGCAGATCTGCCCGGGCTCCGCGGCTTCCGGGCCGCCCTCGTCGGCCTCCTCTTCCTCCCGACCGCCCCCGGGGCTTTTCCGTAAGAGTCCGGAGAAGCTGGAGCCGAAGATGCTGATGAGGTTAGCCACGTTCCCTGTCTCCATCTCCTCCTCGCCCTCCTCCTCGCCCCCAGCCGGCTGCTCCTCCAAGTTCCGGCGCGGCTTCTTGAGCGGGGTAGAGCCGGGCATAGCGCAGCCCGTGCGGCCTCCGCCCACCCCCGCAGCCCCGCGTTTCCTGGGGCACACGGCGGGCGGCGCAACCGACTGGGACTCCCCGGCTCGGGGGCCCTCGGGGATCACGTCCGACCCCTCAACAGTCACGGCTCCACGTGGACGTTCCACGCGGCTCCAGGCGGCCGCCGCCTCTGCGCCCATGACCGCGTCCTCCGCTACGGCCACCACCGACTCCGCGCTCTCCGCTCCCGGCCCGTCGCTCTCGGCGGGGCGCTCAGGCTCGGGCTCCGGCTGCTGCTGCGGCTGCGGCTCGGGCTCCGGCCACGCGGCGGGGCCGGCTGGCGGGGGGGGGTCTCCCCAGCCCGGGGGCGGCCCGGCTACCGGCTCTCCAGGCTGCTGCGGGGGCGCTACTGCCGGGGTCCCCGCGGGACCGGCCAGGTAAAGGCCAGGACACGGGTCACTCAAGTAGACCTGGCGGGCGCTGCGCAGCACCAACGACACCAGGAGGTTCTTGTGCAGCTTGATGCCCCCGCGCTGGACCCGGGAGTTGTAGATCTTGCCCAGAGAGATGCTGACGATGCGGTGTGCCTCCAGCTTGAACTCCATTCTGCCTCCGCTTTTCCGGGTGGGCGCCCAGGTGACAAGGATGAGCGCCGGCTCGCGTGGCGAAGCTGGGAGAGGAGAGAGAGGCGTGAGCAGGTCTGCCTCTGCGCGGCGTCCTCAGTAGCTGGGAGAAAGCTCCGTAAGGGGAACAACCCAATGACACACAGCACCCTTCGACTCTCCTCGGAAGACAACAGATCAGGCTAGAAGTCGGTCTCTAAACTGAGGGGAGCCGGCCGTTCAGCGCCTTATATACGCTCCTGGAACGCCAATCATAAAGCGCCGCCAACCGTTCTGGGCGGGCCTATGTGCCTCATGCGCCAGCCCTAGCCAATCGGAGACGGAGGAGGGGCGCCAGGGCCCGTTCGAACGTTAGTCCCCGCGGAGCCGACCCTTAGAGGGGGCGACGGCGAGTGGCCCAGTGACTGGTGCCTAGGGTCTGGGCTCCAGGGAGGATCCAGGGAGTGTGGCTCACGGTTAGGGATTTCGCTTTGTGAGCTGGCTTGCCTGAACTGAAGAGAACAAAACTTTTGGAACTTTCATTCCAGCCCGGTGCTGGAATCTACTCCACAATAATGGTCTGCGCCCTCCGTGGTTAGTTTCTACGTGTTCACACCTGCAACTTCTGGTCATTCTTGGCAGAAATGGAGATGATGGCAAAACAAGGCGGGCGGGGAGGGCATTCAATGACAAATACTACAACGTGTTTGAGACGTTATTTTGGAATGAGCCCCTTTCCCAATATAGTCACGCTCAGCATTTGGCAAGTCTAACCACACACAAAAAAGGAGAAGTTCTAGAAGTTCCTAAACTTAGGTCTTCCTATCAAGGAATTGTGTTCAGGAACAAAATTTTTGGGTCTCACTTAAAGCGGTATCTAACACTTTGTTCCCTAGATTCTAAAACATAATCAGTTGCCACATAGGTTAAATGGAAAATGATTACATATTTCTACAGTTTTTTTTATTTAAAAATATTTTATTATTTTTATTTTATGTGTATGAGTGTATTGCCTACATGTGTGTAAGTGCACCTGTGTTGTGTAATGCCTGCAGAGGTCAGAAGACAGGGTCAGATCCCCTGGAACTGGAGTTACAGATGTTTGTTAGCTGCTGTGTGGGTGCTGGGAATCAAACCCAGGTCCTCTGTAAGAGAAGTCAGTGCTCTTAATCACTGAGCCATTGCTCCAGCCCCCACAGTGATTTTTTAAAAACACAACTGACTGATCTACCTTGGGAAAATCAAGTAAGTGCTAAAAATACAAATGGGGAAGTTCTGGGTTCCCATAATGATGTCATAATTTTACTTTGTGTCAAGTTAAAATGTGGGGAAGAGATTTCTAGAATTTTCGAAGTCAGTCAGCAATGTAGTCCATTCCTGAGTCCTGTAAGTACCTGGCCATAAGATCCACAAGATTGTACAGGGTCCTAAACTGTAGAGGAGGCGAGCTGGTTCTAGTTAGTACCACTAACACCTCACCACAAACCAGCCTGATGGCTCTGTCAATTACCTCATGATCTTTTAGTTTCACTTCTTAAAAAAGGGGAAATCACCTATAAATCTACTTTATCATGCAGAAGATAACTGCCTGCTCTCTGACACAATCTGAATAATAAAACTAATCACAGTTCCTATGGAGTCCATGTGAACTAGTTGGCTTGGTCCTATACCAAGTTTTGGCCAAGGAATATATTTATTTTGTAGAAATACTAGTGAGAGGTGGGCCAGTTCACAATCACAATCCGAATACCTCAGATGTGATGGCTCAGGGATGTTGCCTTGGCCTACCACTTCCTGTGGTACCTGGAGCCTACAGTTCCTCCCCTCCAGGAATTTTCAGCCCACATAGAGGAGAGAAAATTATAAAACCTGACAATATGCTGAGTAATGAGGCTTTTCTTCTGCTACTTTCTTTCTTTGAGAACTTTTCAAAACCATTTAACAAATACTCTCTGAAAACTGGAATCTAAGTCAACATCTAGATCCTGGTCACCAAACCCTTATGGCAACAAGACTTTGCTCCTCATTCTTCAGGTTCCTAAGGTTCTGCTGGCACTTGCTGCATTACCATTACCAAGGATCTGTTCAGGGGGACATACAGATTGGTATGCACAGGTAGTGATGCATATCACAGATAGATTTATTGATGCCACATAGCAAAAGGTACTTAGACAAGTGTACTGCAATATTCTGTGTTCCTGTCTGTATTAGTTAACTTTTCTGTTGTACCACAACCAAGGCAGCTTACAAAAGGAAGAGTTTATTTGGGTTATGGTTCCAGAGGGTAAGAATCCATCATGGTGGAGACATGCCAGGAAGTAGTCAGAGCAGAAAGCTGAGCACTCACATCCCAAGCAGGCACAGGAAGTAGAGAGAAAAAATTGAAAGTGGGGCAACGTTATGAACTCTCAAAGCCAGTCCAGAGTGACATGCTTCCTACAACAAGACATGCTCCACCTAGTGATTCCATGACCCTCTGAGACAGCCCCACCAATGACCAAGAGTTCAAATACTTGGGTTCATGGGGAGATATGTCTCATCTGAGCCACCTCACTGTCTAACACAGATTGCTTAAATTTATAGGCCAACTGACAGTTCATCTTGAGTGTACTCAGAGAGCCAGTTAATGATGATCATGAAAAGGTACAGGACTCAAGCCTTTACTTCTTTGATCAGCACTCTTGATTTTATAAAGAGAGGTCATCAATTCCATTCCTACCCAAATTTTCTGGCAAACCTGAAAATAGGGTTTTGTGGGGATCCAGATATTCTTTTTTATTATTTATTTAATTTTATTTTAGGTGTATGCATGTTTTGCCTGAATGTATATAAGTACACCATGTGCACGCAATGCCCCTGGAGGTCAGAAAGGGGCATCTGATCCCCTGCAACTGAAGTTATAGATGGTTGTTAGCTGCCATATAGGTGCTGGGAACCACACTTGGGTCCTCTACAAGAGCAGCCAGTGCTCTTACACTGAACCTCATGTATCTGGATATTTTTAATAAGACTTTGAAGCAACTTGGCAGAACCAACGCCTCAGGCTGCACCAGACCCCTATTATCAACTGGAAAAAGTTTGAGAACTTTTAAGTCACTATAAAATAATGGTTAAGAGAATAGGCTGTGCAAGGGCGTGGTGGCATACACCTTTAATCCCAGCACTTGGGAGGCAGAAGCAGGAGGAGCTCTATGAGATTGAGGCCAGCCTGGTCTAGTAGTGAGTTCCAGGCCAGCTGTGGCTACTGGAGACCCTGTCTCAAAAAACAAACAAACACATGCCTCTGGGGTTGGAATCCTAGCTACACTTCTTTCATGCTTATGTGAACTTTGGAAAATTACTTCATCTCCCTTTGCTTGTCTTTTTCATTTGATTACAGAGATAATAATAGTGCTTACCTCTTTGTCTTTGTGAGGCCCAAACAAGATAACACATATAAAACCTTAGCACAGCCCTGGGCATATGGTAAGCTATCAATACATGTTAGTTATTAGAACACATTACCCCACATTTGACCTTGGAGTAACAAAAGAGGCTGGATAAGTAAGGAACACGATGAAAGTTAGAGCAAAGAAGGTATATTTAAAGAGGTGCTAAAAGCCCTAAGGAAGATCCATAGACTAAGCAGTGAAGTAAGAGTAGAGTCATTCTCATTCGTCAGGTTGTCAGGGTGATAGTAGGTTACGGATGCCTCAGTGAGGAGATAGGAACACAGAGACCTACTGAAAATTCCTCTTAATAAGAGGACCACAGGATGGATTCTAGAACAGTTGGTGTACAGACTACCATTTTGTGAGTGTTTAGGCAAAGAATCATGAAAGCCTGACCTAGATAGAGGCAGCAAGAGTAAAATAAGTAAGATACAGGGCTGGGAGATGGCTCAGAGAATAAAGTGCTTGCTGCTTAAACATGAGGACCTGAGTTCTGAATGCCAGCACCCACATAAAAAAACAAAGTCTGGAAGTGCATGCTTATAACCCCAGTGCTAGGAAGCAAAGACAGTTAGATTCCAGTGGACACTGGCCAGCCAGTCTAGCTAAAACAGTAAGCTCCAGGTTTGGTGAGAGGCCTTGTTTCAAAAAATAAGGTAGAAGTCCAGCATGAATAGAGAAGGGCTCATGATGCCTAACCCCTAACTAAGGAGCTTTTGGCAGGTTATGGATACTGAGGGATGGCCAGTTTTCTTCATCAGTGTGACCCCATTAATAACCAGAAGATAACCCTATGCCCATGTGCATTCTGGGATCATTAGACTCAGTGAGGAGGAAGGAAAGGAGGAAGCAAAGTTGAGAGGAGGATATAGAGTGAGGGGGGAGGTCCCAGAAGGAGGTGGAGGGGGATAATAAGGTGTGGATATGAGCTAAGTACATTGTATTCATGAATGAAATTACCAAAGAATGAAAAGAAAAAGAAAAATCAGTAAGACGGGAAGTGACTGAAGAAGAAATCTGAAGTGGACCTCTGGCCTCCACATGCATGCATGGGTGAATACACACACAAACACACACACACACACACAAGAAGTAAAAAGAACTCCAGTGATGGAGATGCTGCCGAATTCATCCACCTAAACAGGTTACTGAAAGCATCTGAGAAGGCGTTCTGACCCATCTGAGCTGAGCTGCTCCAGCATTAACCCCTGCACACACCGCTTTATCACCGCCCTCGTCACTGTCTCCTTTTATTGCCTCTCCCAGCTTGTGCTCTCATCAAAGACAGAAGACTGTCTTTGTCACCAAGGAGTAGTGGAAAAAATGTAATGACTGATGGGACACAGGTCCTAACCATCAGGATAGGACACCTAAATCCTTTCAATGTTGGATTACAGACGGCTCCTGTAGGACAGCCTGAACAGCAGGAAGGGACCCCCAAGGGACTGGAGAAATCCATCCTATTAGCTGGCAGGAAGCATTCCAAACTTTTAAGTGCATCCAGAGTGGTTATGTATTTGGAATCCCCAATAATATCTACCAAGCACCACACTGGTCAGTTCACATGTATTATTTTGCATTCTTGTAAGATTAGGAAAGTAGATAGCTTTTTTTCATTTACAGAGGAAGAAACTGGTACTCGAGAAGTACATTTCCCAAAGTTAACTAAATTTTCTCAAATTTCCTACAGCTGTAGGTTGGGAGAGTGAGATTCAACTTGGAA